GCAGAATATTGACATTCTGTTCTTCTCCTCAAAATCTGTGTTCTATTGCTCTTCCATCTCTCTTTCTTCTACATCTTCTTCACTTTCTCTTCTCATTGAACCTAAAATCTCTTAGTGATCAAGACTAAATAGCAGTCTTGAAAACCTACAATTTCATAAGCATAATTCTTTGTTCAAAAAAAAAAAGTGGCTCTACCTTGGTTGCAAATCTCTTTATCCATATTATCCCACATGAATCTTTTTTTTAAGTGGGCTGTATGGTGGATAAAAGCCAAGACAATAGCATATAATTCTCCTGGTCCCACTTATCACAAGTAGGTCCGGCTTCTTTAGGCTCAACAACACTTCTGGTTAGAAGCCCCAAACTTCCTCTACCACCAACAAACAATTTAACTCCTCTAGTCCACTCAAAATAATTTAGTCCATCCAAAGAGGTGATAGAAACAGGGAAATTTCCACTTCCAGCACCAGTACTGAAAACAGGTTGACCTCTCTAAATCCCTGTAATAGCAGAATCCTCTGTAGCCATACTGAGGTCAAAGTATGAGAACCACCAACTCAAACAGCATTAACTTAAATCTTACTACCACCAGAAATGAGGAAGGAATAACTTACTACTGTTGTCTCAGGCCAGCAATCAAACACCTTCAACAAGCCTATCACAGCAATACTTGAGTAGAAAAAAAAAAAAAAAAAAAAAACTTCCAAAACACATCAGTTACAACCTGGCCTCAGACTAGAACATGTACTTGCAGAGATTTTCCAAGACAAAAAAGGAAATATGCAGCCAACCCTCGCAGTCCAAACAACAACACTGCAGATGCAATCAATTTGCAGTGCAGATTAAATAACCCAACCAGCAGCACTTGCTGTCCACCAAGGATACCCTTGTACTAGGTTCATTAGATCAAAACCCCAGAATGAAGAAACACTTCTCAGATCTGAACCCCATTAAAACAGAGAGGAAACACTCCCTCCAACACTTATACCTCCATTCACAGTCCAAGAAGATACCCAAAAGAGTAAATCTTTTGGTGCTACGACCAAACAGAAAAGCAAATCAATAATCCAAAGACATTTGAATAATCCATAGTCTACAATCAGAAAAGAAAATGAATTTTTTGCATTAAGTTATTTTTCAACATTTGACAAGCTTTTCATCTCTTTATTTTATTACTACTTCCTTTTCAATGAAAGGCTCTCAATGGAGTAATTATAATGGTTTAGTGTATCTTGTAAAGAAAAAGAGAGAACATGAACAAATTGAACCTCAAAACCAGACATTTTTATATGAAAAATTTTTGCTGGGTAATTGGGTTTTGCACTTACTTGAACACATCTTTTAATATAAAAAAGAAAAGCAAAACCACACATTTATGCCAACCAAATAATGATAGGTGATTCTAAATTTCTAATGTTAAATTGAAAACATGATACAATACCAACCCAGAAATAAATGGTAAGATCAGAATAATATAAAATAACATTACCATGTCGTGACACAAACTCGATGAACTGTGCCAGCTGCAATTAAAGCAATAGCTTCTGCTACTAAAACTGCAGGAGAGAAACAAATAAAGAGAATAACCAACAGTTCTTTTACTTTTCCTTCATATAGAAACAAATATGGCCTTTTATAGAAACAAATATAACCCTTCATACAATCTGTAATAGGGATTGCCGACTCTGGAGCCTATATACATGGTTGTTTTGTTTTTTCTTTCTTTTTTTTTTTTTTTGATCAGCAAGGATTTTTTTTTTTATCAATAACAATGGATTTTATTAATAGATAGGAAAACCAGAATTACAAGGTAAGGAGCTAAAGAATCTTAACTCCCTAATATCCTATAAGCCCCAACCATGGAGCAATTACAAAACAGCCCAAAACATAGAGTTTCTGTTCACCCCTGACCTAGCTAGACCATCTGCCAATGCATTAGCACTTCTCA